AAAGGAGAAAGGGAACTACAGAAAGCCAAGACATAATCTAGGGTTATTAGCATTGAACATTTATCAGAGTTTGGCTGGATATTCTCCCCTAGGACTCAAACAATGTGTATGGCCCAAGTACTGAAAACTGTTCTAGAAAAATTCATAGAAAAACATGGATCAAGGGATATATTAGTTCAATCCCCGAGTTCAAGGCAGGATCAACCAAATCTACATAATTCCTGACAAAGACATAGCTACACTGGGTTTTGGTGAGACCTACTGATCTCTCACACTTCTTCCACAGCTCATGAGAGAAATTAATTTTTCCYGTTAGAAAAAAAAAAGTCTTTTTAATTGGAATCTTCTCTTTCTACAGTTTAAAGCCTTATTTCTTGTTCTGTCCATATCATTCAGGATAACTTACTTCCTCTCTCTTTTCCTATCTTTTGTGTAGCTAAAGACTTACTAGATCTACCCTTAATCTGGTATTCTTTAATCCAAACATCTAATTCATACCAGCTTCTGTTTTATTTTTATCTCCCTGACAATTTTAAGTCATCTTCAATTGGTTCTATTCTTCATGAAGGTGGCAGTGCTCCAAACAGAAGGGAACAGATAGGTTACTTCTAGTGGTTCTACAGGCAATTTCCAGTTAATGACAAAAAAGGACAAAACCAAGGGAAAAGAAAGACAGGGACAGAAAAGCATCTGGCAAGTTTCTGGGGCTGCACTAGGTTTGACTTGAACCCTTGGGGAAGAAGCAGCTACAGCACTAAGCATTCATGAAGGGATGATTCTTCATTTTTAGGAAAACAAGGGAGAACACAAAAAAAAAGAGCTTCAGGAAATTAAAATTCAGCAAACTCATCCACACAGCACACACAAAGAAATTTCTGCAAGCACACCATCAGAAAGGAAATGGACCTGGTCTTCCAAGGAGATATTGGCAGTAAGTACGTACACTCAAAGCATGGGAGTTCTAATGCCTAATCAGAAAGGCATCTATGGTTAGACAGCTGATAAAACCAGGAACAAACATGAGAAAATTGATTAGATGRTAATTAAATAAATTACCTATTCTAACATCAGTTAAATGTACTGAAATTCACTCCAGCTAATTAAAGCTGAYTGGATCAATCTCAGAATTATCAATAACCATTTTTGAGAATTTGTAGAGGATAGTAGTGATTCCAAAAGAATGCAAAATACTCAGTGCTTAACTTTTAAAAAAATAAAAAGAAAAAAGACAATAGAAATGTCTACTTCCAAAGAAGCAGAGATACAGCAACAGAATTTCACTTCTGTGAAATATGGACTAAAAATTATTTGGAACTATTTAGCAGATAAGAAGTTGAGTAGTATATAGACCTGTCAAGAACAAGTTACTTCACATCTATCAAAATATTCTTTGTGACAAAGCAGTAGACCCTGTAGCTAGAGAAAAGGCAGTAGGTATCATACAGCCCGACTTAATGAGKTTTTGGTCACTGTTTCCCATGGACTTCCATCAGCAAAGAGAAATGTAATGCTACAAAAGAAAAGATCTAATAAGCAGATGACACTGAGCTTGGAAACAATGCATGCATGCTGGATTACAAGAGTACATTGTTAAAGCAATCTTGCTGAATCTGAGAAACCGTCTGCAGAAAACATATATAACTCAGTAAGGGAAATTSTGGAGCTTAACAAGAACACGTAACAAAAGAAATGCAAGATGGAGAACAACTAGTGAGGCAGCAGCCTTGGCAAAGGAGCATTGAGGCAAGAGTGGTTCATACTCTGATTAGCAGTCTGTGTCACACTACTAAAWTCAGCAAAATTTCTTGCTAGGATCYATTGACAGCAKGTTGTGAGCCTAGAAATCAACCGCAGGACAGGGAAATGTTTTCAGGACAGAAAATCCAGAGTACTGTGTACTGAAGTGAGCTGCTGTTTTCCTTGTAAAGATATTTCAGTACCCAGGTCTGTTGGCCTGACGCTGTTCACTATCAGCACAGCCACCAATTTTAAGTAGATACTTCTCCCTCCTCCCCACCACCCACAGAAGAAAACAATACATTTTCTACATCCCTAAAAGGTTTGCCTTAAAAATTTTTACTCCTTCTAGGCAGCAGCAGAACTGCCTTCCTGCTGACCATTTTCCAACCAACCATCGTAACAAGAAAGATATTCAAGAAACAAAAACGAGTTGTACTTCCCCAAGATACGAAAAACCAGGTAGGTGTATAGCCTCTCATAGGACATATCAGTAGAGCTTTCATTTTWGTTTCTAACATATATCTGCTATGTAAATTTGGAATTTAGTCCTTTTCCATTTAATTATATGAGTAATATAAAAATAAATGTGCAACTTGATGTCTTTATGGCAAAAAAAGAAAAAGAGGCTGAATCGTCTGACAGTGTCTTTTTAAAGATTACACATAATGACAATGAGATGGCTGAAAATCATACATTATTCTTTCAGATTTACTATCACAGCAAAAAGCTTTAGATTAATTAATGCTCCAATATATATGAAAAATTACTAAGCCAATTAATYTCATTCATCTACAAATGGAAGAGTAGACAGTTTTTTAAGAACTTCATTTAGAATTGCCAAGGTTCTACTGACAATGATAATCAGTATAAAGGAATAAATAAAGTGTATTAAAGCAGTAACATATTCCTGGCACAAGTTCAGACTTGGAAGAATACACAAATCAATACAGGATAAAATATGCTAGTGCCATTCTGCAGCTTATGGCCAGGTGACTGCACATCATAAATTTACATCCCTTGCTCATCTTGGCTGGCTGCAGTAGAGAAACCAGGAAAGACCACCTTTAGTAATGACAAAGGCACCAAGTGGCAGGAATGTACTGAAAGGAATTGCAGAGCTGGATGAAGTGAACAGGAGATTCTAAATTCAAGTATTTTGAAAATCAAACATTACTTACACACTGAGGCCCAATCAACAAATATATGTATGAAGGCAAATACCTTATTGGCTCCTTTTGTGAGTTAGGCACCCAGATAACTCWGCAAGTTTGGCCCTAATCAATATCAAAATGCAACAGGAACACMAAGTTTACTTGGAATCCGAAGTTAAATAAAAATCCAAGTGCTTTAAAGAAAAATCAATAGAGAACCAACATTTTTTCATTTTGCAGAATTGCAGAATTTAGAATGTTTAGGCTAAGGAGTTTAGGATGACAATGTTTCAAGTATAAAGAACATTGAATTTTATCCTTCTCTATTTTCTAGAACTCATGACCACATATAGCATTGTGTAAYCTACTACACAGTCACATATACCTGCACATACCATACCAATAAGAATGAATCTGATTCCTTCATATTTCTCTGCAATGCTCTGTTTCTAAGTCACTGAAGAAATGAAAGACCATCTAGTTTTGAACCTCTTTAAAGGCACCTTTCTCTTTTTATTCATTCTGCAGCAATTAAAAAGGGCTTTGAAATTTTCTATATTTAAAATATAAAATATTGCCTTCACTCCCTTCCATAGGTTTTCCACTCAAAATTTCATTCATGCACTGTTCACGAAAAGAATTTTTTAAATCACAAAGAAATGCTATTATCAGGAATTTGAGCCCTTCCCATGCAGTTGTGTCATATCACAAGACATAAGAAGAAAGCAATCCATCCACTGCTGTGAGAAACAGTATCTTAATAGAACAGAYTTTCAAAACTGTGTTTTCTTGCATTTTTGTTGTTGCTTTATGCAAATCATTGCAGYGCAACACATGTTTGGACATTCATTTTTAAAAGTTTTCACCCCCTTGTTTCCTTGGAATCATTGCCAAATATACTTGGAGCAATTTCTCGACAGGAACTAAAGCACTTCAAATCTGTAGAAGGTGGCAAATTCAACTTCATTTTATATATAATCTCTTTTGCAATTTTATCAAAACACAGCTATTATGAGCATGTTATGAGGCTACCAACAAAGAGGTGCATGGTTATGCTGTGCAAAGAATCACACAGATTGTGTTCTCTTCTGTTTCCTAGTAATGAAACAGTGAATTCAGTAAAAATTTGTGCCATGGTTACTACTGGTTCAGCTTTACATGGGCTTTTCAGTTCTTTTGTTCCAGAGTAGAAGAATATAATTAAAATAAAGGCAGAGAGCTCTCCTTTTGCTTTGAGAAAGCAGTAAGTATTAAAACAAATTATTAAAATATAAAAAAAATTCTACTATAATATTTTGAGAAGAGGCAAGTGCATCTTGAAGKAGACCCTCACCAGCCAAGCAATTTTTCCTTGACTGACTTTCACTTCCTTCCCACTTGCAGGTCACCAGAGGACCCACCAAGAACACAGTCAYCTATGAGAACAAAAAGCAGCATGTACATCTGAACCAGGCATCAATGGAAAACAACTGATTGATTTCCACAGTCTCTGGACAACCCATCTATTCTATRAAAGTCTAATTTTTATCGCTGAAATCTACATCCAAAGTATGCTGTTATTAAGCAAGTCTGCAGCTTTATTAGCTACTGTATCCATCCTCTGCACACAGGCTAGTTCCCAATGTCCAAACCCCAATCTCCTTCCATTCCCAGCTCTTTATCAGCCCAATCTCTGTTACCACAGGCAACACTAGCATGTCCTAATAATGATTTAAGTGCCAGAACCACAAACCCAAGTGAGAAATGCACCAAGCTTCATCTTGCACTTTGTCCATGTACACAGTGGCAGAGGTAACCCAGCAGTCGAGCTTCAATCCTTAAACAGAAATGAGATGTAGCCTTGGGCTGCCTGAGCAGATCACACTGTCTGTCTAAAGAAAGGCCACTGGACTGGAGCTGGGCCACAGACTCCTTTTGGAACATACAAAAGTAAGRTAGTCACTAATCCTTTTAAAAGCCTTGAACTAACAATCAAAACCTATCAGCTGTATTTCCTGCTTTGGTACTGGAAATCAATTCAGCCAGCACTCTGAGTTTTGCAAAGATTTTATACCATTCCTAGATGGTTTTCACAGAGATAGCAAAAATACAGAACATATAAACACTGACCTTGTTTCTTTTAACCCTTCTTTCTGAATGACTTCCAGTATTTGTTTTGCAGTCATTGGTGAGTTGGGGTACTTTTCCAATGCCTAAAAAGAAATAATAAATGTGTAAGTGACAAGACAGATGTCCTGTGAATTTGAAAGGTTATGTGATCATGCAGTTTTTATGTAGCCATTTGTGAAAGGCTGGGATCGACAGTGTTGAGACTGGAGTCCTCTGTCTGTTGGAAAGCCAGATGCAACCCAGGAAACTGCAGCAAGGAAAAGATAACTTGCTGCTTTTGCACATCATCTGCTACTTCTGCCTGGGAAAACTCTTATCAGGTTACAAATAAAAGAGTTGGAATACGCAACTGTTTTTATGACACAGCAACAGATTTTCTTTCAGGCATGAGGGAAAAAACATAAAACACAAGAACCAAAGGAATAAAAAAATAAAAAAAATAAGAAGACTAGCACTTTCTTTGATTTTTATTACTTTAGAATTCTTTGAGGTCATTTGACTATTTTATACTTAGCTTTGCCATGACCTCAGAAAAAATTTGGATGAAACTTTCCATTTAAAGAGCAGGAGCTACTGTAAAAACTGACACAGTGGGCTTACAATTTTAAAATGCTTTTTGCCTCTAAAAACAATGAAAAATGAAGCAGTCAGAACAGTCACAGCACACAAGATGCTACATGACAGAGTGCAGTATATTTCTCCAGTTCAGCTCAGTTTTCCACTCCTTTGCCTTTTCCAATTGAGCCAAAAGTAACCCACTCCTCTTTACAGAGAGAACCATGTTGTAAAGATTTTTCTGATTTTCCACTTCCTTTTTGTCCCCATCAGTTTTATGCTGTTAAACAAACAGCCACTCTTTTGCTCATGTAAAATGCCAGACTGACAGCCCTGGAAAATGAAACCCTTCAATCAGCAGCAAAAGGTGCAGCACAGGCCACAGCAATCAAGCTTCCCAGAGCATCTTGCCAACATATCTCAGCCAGAACTCGCACTTCTACCCTCTGTAAATACAAAATCAGTTTGGTCTGATTCAAATGATCCTGAGCTTCTCCCTAATAGTTACCAAATAATGGCAATTGTGAAAGTAGCTACTACTATGTGGATACCTGCTCRCTAGGAACTAGAGACACCACCACAYCGTATCACTCAAGTCAAACTGTGAAGGGTGCTAGCCAGGGCTGTAATTCAGAAGCTCACCTAAAGCCAAAGACTGCCTACTCACTACAGCTTGWCCAGCTCAGCCCTTTTTTGCCAYTTCAATGCTCTGATTTCCTGCCTGYTCTCTTTTACAGCCAAAACAYAGTTTACCAAATCCTTCAATTCTTTGTTAGAGATAAGCTTTGTACCCTTTATCCTTCAGTTCCACAAAGGAAAATGTATAAGTGAAGGTTGCACTAGAAAGGTCTGGGAGCTGAACTGAGCTTATCTCGTGTACATCAATAGAAAAGATTCAAAAGGGACCCATCAGGAAAGGAAAACCGAAAAGTGATTTGAGAGGAGAAAGAAGAGAGGGTTGGAAAGAGTAAAAGTACAGCAATGAGTCAGAACAGAAGAAACTGCACAGGGCTGGGAAAAGGATCATTGCACACAAGGGAAGAGAAATAATATGATGTATTAGTGACAGAACAACAATGACACATTGGAAAAATGACAATGCGTATAAAGATTAAGACTAGGATGAGGAAAGATTAATGGTGTGAAGAGACAAAAATGGAAACTTTAACCTTCAGAAAGAAGACAAAGTACAAGGTAAAATGAGAATACACCAAAATACAGAGAAAAGAGAACWAAACTGGGAACATTCCAGAGGGCAAACTGGAAAGGACAGAAGAGGATACTACACTGTACTGGACACGGCTATGAAGGAAACTTGTGTGCACTTGAAAGTGGGGTTACTCACTGTGGAGGATTCCCTGTTTCTCTTCCTGAGTACAGGCCCCTCAGCACACCTGGGCAGCTCCTCCCTGCAATTGAGAAAATTTGGGTAGCCCTGTCCCCTTCTCTACGACATCACATCCTATTCTATAAAGTCAGTAAAAGTGCCAAGTATTACCACGAGAGTTCGACGATAATGGGAAGGAAACCATAAAGCTATGCAAACACCAGAAGTCACCCTGTCCTGGACAATGGAAGAAGGGAGAGCAGTTTGTGCTGAGGAAGCTGCACTGAACTGGTTGTGAAAACAATGGCCAGACATACGGATACGGAAGATCATCTTCACCAAACAACAATGAAACCAACAAGTAGGATGCATAACACCACTACAGAAAGTTTAATGAAACCCACAGGGCAGATTTCAAATACCACAGTATGAAGTGAACACATTCAGGGTAGAATGACAAATTGAAATGCAGAGTATGTTAGACAGGCTGGAAGTGCTGGAGTAAACAATTGCCCATTGTGTGGATTCGCCTTATATTGGACATGCAGCGTGGGCTGCAGCTCATATACCCCATGAATTTACTTCTGTTCATCTAACCCTTTAAACCCTGTTATTTAAGCAACTGTTCATATCCTATCTGAAAAGCATTCATTCTCAGATTCAAACACTACTTAAGTCGACAATCCTGTTGTTATTATGTACATAATTAAGTTTTCTTTATCATAACAAAGATCAATTAGCAGAGAACCTTAGCAACGATGGGTTTTTTCTGCCCCTCCCACCATGCTGTCCATCCTCATCATTGTTCCTCCCCTCCCTCCGGTTTTAGCCTAATCATTTATCACAGTAAGAAAACAAAAATAATTAGTTGTAAAAACCTTTCCATTATAATATAATTTTCTTCTCTCGGTTATGGAACACAGCATCAGAGTATTATTTAAGATTCTGTGAGCTAATGAATACACTGAACTGCTAATTACATGAGTATCTCTTGCCTCCGTATCTTACCACTAACACTGCTAGAAGYCTGCAATCCTTTTGCATTTCTAAGACTTTTTAAARTAACATTAGAAATTCAAACTGAATAACTAACTGTGCCTTAAAGCAAATAAAATACTAAAAAGGAGAAAGCATAGTTAAGTCACAGGCTTCTTGGTCAGACATAGTAATGCACATCAGGGGAGGAAGCCATAATTTGTTTTAAATATCTTTCCTCTTCCTCCCACTCCTTCCACCAACACTCATATCATATATGGACAATGACTAATAATGCTGAAATTAAAGCAYGCCAAAGTACAGTCATGAAGAACATGACTGTTTCAATATATTTTGTTAAGAAGGACAAAAGAAGAAGAATGGTTTGCACTGACTGCAACCCCTATCACAGAGGATCAAATATGCTCTATTTATTCCTGCCATTCAACCATAGCCTTAAAAAGGGACAGCCGCTAAATAACTGGGACAAATAATGTGATACCCATCAGGACAATGTGAAAGAGAACAGAAGTAGTCACTGCACAGGACACATTCTTCGTGTTCATTCAAACCCTGGTTAACGGCTCAAAGAGAAGAAGGCWCAGATCCTACCAAGCACAGTGGAAATAAAACCTCCCAACAAACAGTAGCAGCCTGACAAATTGTTTGTGTCACCTACAGGTATCAACTCACAACTTCTGAGATATGAAATAATCACAGAGATGCCACAAACACATGTATTCCCAGTTTCATTGGAAAAGTCATGTCAGTTATATGGGACAAGAAGAAATACAAATTCCTTTTCACACCATAGCATCTATCATCATCTCTGTGTTCACAACTACTCAAAATAATCAGTTGCCACATCAGGGAAAAACACTTTCCAGTGAACTGTTACAGGAAGACTCTAGTACAGAGTCAAGACTCTGAGCTTTGCATAAGAAAGAAACCTTAAATGCTCAGCTTGCYTACAAAATCAGAATTTCTATGTAATTGATGGAATTAATAGTTTAATTTATATAAACAGATGCTTGTGACCACCAGAATCARACCTGCTCAATCATTTGCATTTCAGACACTGGAGGGAACACAGAAGAGGGACGAAARGGTGAAGAAAGGCAAACCACAGAATTGGCCCTCTTGCCACCCATAAACATTCCTGAAGAAAGTGGGAAGTTTTGCCTGCAGCTATCAGTTATCACACTGACAGAAAATAATTCTTCTAAATAAGAACCAAGTGTGTTCTGATACTGCATTGTGGTCCAAAAGCAGCGGGACAGAACAGCCTAGTGAGCAGCCTTGATGCTGCTGATTGTGTGACCAGACAGTCTGAAACCAGCCAGAGCTTCCTCCGTTTCTGGATGCTGCTGGCAAGGATCTGAAGGTCAGGATGATTTAACAAAAATCAGGATAATTTTATCATAATAGGCTGAGCCACTAGTCTCAAGCAGTTGTCCTTAGAACACTATTTTAAAAAACTGAGGAGGAGGAGAAAGAGGAATAGTGCAGTTATTCCCTGTGCTCCTACTCATCAGCTAAAATACAAGTCAGGCTGAAYGACACAATGGGCAATCTTTACTGCCCAAAGACAGCAGGGTGAATACAAGTACATAAAAACCAACCAAACAAACAAGCAAATAAAACCACCAAACAAAACCCTCCAAAAACTTTCCTTCTCCTAAGCAGAAAATATAAATTATTTTCTAGCCACCCATTACTAAATTAATGAATTGAAAGATGGAGTACCAAACAGGGTACAAGAAATAACAGCATTCTGGAAAAAATCCAGCATTGTCTTCTACAGCTGCTTATGTGAGGTTAACAGGAGGACTGACTTCTATTGTGGGAAATGCCCCACTCAAATCTTTTGTGTTCATTTTTGATTAACAGCTTCAGTCGTTGGGGAATTATCAGCAGCTTGGTAAAAGTTCAAAGCCCTTTGTGTAAAGAAGGATGGGTAAATGGTTCAGAGAGAAGGGGAGGGTACAGAGTTAGGGAAGAAAGGAAGTGCACAGAGATGGACGAAGAGGCAAAAACAGCAAGGAAAGGTAAGTGATACATGAAAAAGAGGGATGATAATAAGGATAGATGCACTATGAACTATTTTAACACAAGTTCTCAAATATGTATTCACACAACTCTTGCTGACAGTGACCAAGAGAAAGGTAAAGAGTAGTTTCCAGGTACTAAAATATTAAAATAATCTAAACCAGGAGTAACTTCTCC